TATTAAAGTTGTTGTGAGACCAACACTTAAGGCAGGGCCACAACAGGAGGAAGCAGGGCCACAACAGGAGGAGGGAGGGCCACAACAGGAGGTAGGGCGGGCCACTACAGGAGGAGGCAGGGCCACCACCTGTTAACACTTGTGTTGGCCACACAATATACTGTATATATTAGTTCTTCATTTGATAAGTGGCTGGACTGAAGTAAACAGTTTATTAGTTTTATTTTATTGTAGAAAAATATAGTTTCACAGGTACTGAGTTCAGTACTAAGGTAAGTGTCTTAGTGCACTTATAGGTGAACACTTAAGTTAGGTGTTCACTGGGTAACAGGTGATAACATAAGAATGGAGGAAACTGCAGCGGGCCTATTGGGCCATACTGGGCAGTCCCGTTTACACCCAGCCCCTATTGCTCATATAAGCATCCAACCTGTGTTTGAAGCTATCCAGCGTATTCTAGTTAATGATGATATTTGGTAACTTGTTCCATTCATTCACTACTCTGTTACCAAACCAATGTTGTGTGTTCCAGTAGTGATGAGTTGTGTCTTCCAGTAGTGATGAGTTGTGTCTTCCAGTAGTGATGAGTCGTGTCTTCCAGTAGTGATGAGTTGTGTCTTCCAGTAGTGATGAGTTGTGTCTTCCAGTAGTGATGAGTTGTGTCTTCCAGTAGTGATGAGTTGTGTCTTCCAGTAGTGATGAGTTGTGTCTTCCAGTAGTGATGAGTTGTGTCTTCCAGTAGTGATGAGTTGTGTCTCCAGTAGTGATGAGTTGTGTCTTCCAGTAGTGATGAGTTGTGTCTTCCAGTAGTGATGAGTTGTGTCTTCCAGTGATGAGTTGTGCTCCAGTAGTGATGAGTTGTGTCTTCCAGTAGTGATGAGTCTGTCTCCAGTAGTGATGAGTTGTGTCTTCCAGTAGTGATGAGTTGTGTCTTCCAGTAGTGATGAGTTGTGCCTCCAGTAGTGATGAGTCGTGTCTTCCAGAGTGATGAGTGTCTCCAGTAGTGATGAGTCGGTCTTCCAGTAGTGATGAGTTGTGTCTTCCAGTAGTGATGAGTTGTGTCTTCCAGTAGTGATGAGTTGTGTCTTCCAGTAGTGATGAGTCTGGCCTCCAGTAGTGATGAGTTGCTTCCAGTAGTGATGAGTCGTGTCTTCCAGTAGTGATGAGTTGGTCTTCCAGTAGTGAGAGTTGTGTCTCCAGTAGTGATGAGTTGTGTCTCCAGTAGTGATGAGTTGTGTCTTCCAGTAGTGATGAGTTGTGTCTTCCAGTAGTGATGAGTTGTGTCTTCCAGTAGTGATGAGTTGTGTCTTCCAGTAGTGATGAGTTGTGTCTTCCAGTGATGAGTTGTGTCTTCCAGTAGTGATGAGTTGTGTCTTCCAGTAGTGATGAGTTGTGTCTTCCAGTAGTGATGAGTTGTGTCTTCCAGTAGTGATGAGTTGTGTCTTCCAGTAGTGATGAGTTGTGTCTTCCAGTAGTGATGAGTTGTGTCTTCAGTAGTGATGAGTTGTGTCTTCCAGTAGTGATGAGTTGTGTCTTCCAGTAGTGATGAGTTGTGTCTTCCAGTAGTGATGAGTTGTGCTTCCAGTAGGATGAGTTGTGTCTTCCAGTAGTGATGAGTTGTGTCTTCCAGTAGTGATGAGTTGTGCTTCCAGTAGTGATGAGTTGTGTCTTCCAGTAGTGATGAGTTGTGTCTTCCAGTAGTGATGAGTTGTGTCTTCCAGTAGTGATGAGTTGTGTCTTCCAGTAGTGATGAGTTGTGTCTTCCATAGTGATGAGTTGTGTCTTCCAGTAGTGATGAGTTGTGCTTCCAGTAGGATGAGTAGTGTCTTCCAGTAGGATGAGTTGTGTCTTCCAGTAGTGATGAGTTGTGCTTCAGTAGTGATGAGTTGTGTCTTCCAGTAGTGATGAGTTGTGTCTTCCAGTAGTGATGAGTTGTGTCTTCCAGTAGTGATGAGTTGTGCTCCAGTAGTGATGAGTTGTGTCTTCCAGTAGTGATGAGTGTGTCTTCCAGTAGTGATGAGTTGTGTCTTCCAGTAGTGATGAGTTGTGTCTTCCAGTAGTGATGAGTTGTGTCTTCCAGTAGTGATGAGTTGTGTCCCAGTAGTGATGAGTTGTGTCTTCCAGTAGTGATGAGTTGTGTCTTCCAGTAGTGATGAGTTGTGTCTTCCAGTAGTGATGAGTCGTGTCTTCCAGTAGTGATGAGTTGTGTCTTCCAGGATACGGATCAGGTCGTTGTCAGTGCCTCACGGATGATGATGTTGACAGGTGTTGACCCAGCTGACCTCGCCGCCCAGGAGGAAATGTCAACTCACCAATTGATTCATACTCGTGGATCAATGACTTGGTGAATGCATTGGTAAGATACACTGGGTATATTTTTATATAGTAATACAAATTGCTGTTATATACTGTGTTACTTATGGTATATTGAGTTACTTATGGTATATTGAGTTACTTATGGTATATTGAGTTACTTATGGTATATTGAGTTACTTATGGTATATTGAGTTACTATGGTATATTAGGTTACTTATGTATATTAGTTACTTATGGTATATTAGTTTACCTCTGAAATTATTATAAGGTATTGGCCGGTAGGGTTAAGACCTATATAAGAAAAGCAACGAGGAATAATGAACTGAAGGTAGCAAGGAGGCGAAGTCAAACCCCAAGGTTCTACCAAATGTATCAAACTAAAACACGAAAAAGATTGGACCAATACAGTCAGATACCGGCAAGCTAACTGATAACGACGGAGAAATGAGCAATAATCTGAACAAATATTTTTCAACAGTTTTCACCACTGAAGATTTTAACATGATCCGAGGCTCCGACTATATACAGAGATAGTGAAGAAAACAAATTAAGCGAGATAGTAGTGACTAGTAATGATGTTAGTAAGCAAATAGACAAACTAAAGCCTAATAAGTCACCAGGTCCCGATGAGATTTTGCCAGAGTATTAAAGGAATGTAGGGAAGAGCTTAGTATGCCCTTCGCAAAGTTGTTTAACATGTCCTTAAAACGGGTGTAGTAACAGAATCCTGGAGGATAGTGGATGTAATACTGATTTTCAAGAAGGAGATAGATCACTATCCTCTAGCTACCGTCCAATCAGTCTAACATCAATTGTGGGCAAATTACTGGAAGCAATCATTTCAAACTCTATTCAATTCACCTGGAGAAGCACAAGTTGATTAATGATTCCCAACATGCTTCACAAGTGGGCGTTCATGTCTAACTAATCTATTAACATTCTTTTCATCTATTTTGAATCAGTGGACGGGGCACGACTATGATGTGGTATATCTTGACTTAAGCAAGCCTTCGACAGAGTCCCCACGAAAGGCTAATAAGAAAAGTGGAGGCTCATGGCATTAAAGGTGATATTCTAAATTGCATTAGGGCGTGGTTACAGGACAGGAAACAGCGAGTGAGCATTAACGACGCTAAATCCGATTGGAGCAACGTCACTAGTGGAGTACCCCAAGGCTCAGTACTTGGACCATTATATTTATTATATACATAAATAACATAGATATTGGCGTAGACAACAACATAAGTAAATTTGCTGATGACACTAAAATAGGGCGTGTAATTAAAGCTGACGAGGACTCCGCAAAACTACAGGAAGATCTAAACAAAATTTTTGAATGGACTGAAAAATGGCAGATGAAATTCAATGTTGATAAATGTAAAGTACTCAGTATAGGAGATGTAAACAGAGAAACCAGATACCAGATGAACAACGATGATATAGAAATCCGACTGAAAGATTTGGGGTAATGATAAGTAGGAATCTTAAACCAAGTGAACAATGTGTATTAGCTGGGAACAAGGCTAATAAAGTACTTGGGTTCATACAAAAGTGTTAGTTACAAGACTAGCGAGGTCATCCTAAAACTATATCTTGTGTTTGTTAGACCTCACTTGGATTACGCAGTTCAGAGGAGAATGACCAGACTAATCCGGGCATTAGGAACCTTGAGTACAGAGACAGGTTAAAGCATCTTAATTTACACTCCCTCGAGAGACGTAGAGTGAGGGCGATATGATAGAGGTGTATAAATGGAAGTCAGGGCTAAACAAAGGTGATATAACAAAGGTATCAAACTATCAACCAGGAGCGAACTCGTAACAATGGTTTTAAATTAGACAAATTTAGATTTAGGCGCAAGATAGGTAAACATTGGTTTGGTAACAGAGTAGTGGATGAATGGAACAAGTTACCAAATATCATCATTAACTAGAATACGCTGGATAGCTTCAAACACAGGTTGGATGCTTATATGAGCAATAGGGGTTGGGTGTAAACGGGACTGCCCAGCATGGCCGCTGCAGTTTCCTCCATTCTTATGAACATGTAGTAATAGTGTTGTAATGAACATGTTCTTGTAATGATTGTTTATCAGACCACAGCTTACAGCCCAGAGAAATACAACACGTATAACAGTGAGCCGGTGTACACCCACGTAGATGGTGACACAACCTACAGTGAGTAAAGGTCACTGCCACAAAGTACTGAGTTAACCCTGCGATATAACCACAGAGAGCCAGTACATCCAACAGTGTGTAAGAGCCAGTACATGCCAGCAACGTGTAACAGAACACCAGTCGACAACTGTGTAACAGAGCAGTACATGCCTACTGCCAACAGTGTGTAACAGAGAGCCAGTATGCCAGTAGCAACAGTGTGTAACGAGCCAGTACATGCCCAGTACTTGCCAACAGTGTGTAACAGAGAGCCAGTACATAGTACTTGCCAACAGTGTGTAACAGGAACGTGATCGCTCCCAAAGCTAACGGGCCGATCTTTTGGTGAAGATAAAAGTAAAGTGATATCCTAAAATTAACTCCCGAAATTACCAAAATATATCTATAAAACACCAACAAATTATTAATAATCTTAAATAACATTAAAATTATATAATTAAAAACGGTTAAATTATTTAGTCTCAGAAAAAAACAAAATAATTTAGGTCTTGATGTTCGTGGTTATGACTCAACATGAACCAGGGCGGCCATGACAGCTGACGCATTGTAAACAAGACGCTGAAGAAGGTGAGTGACCAGCGGTACTTGTGAGTGACCAGCGGTACTTGTGAGTGACCAGCGGTACTTGTGAGTGACCAGCGGTACTTGTGAGTGACCAGCGGTACTTGTGGTGACCAGCGGTACTTGTGAGTGACCAGCGGTACTTGTGAGTGACCAGCGGTACTTGTGAGTGACCAGCGGTACTTGTGAGTGACCAGCGGTACTTGAGTGACCAGCGGTACTTGTGGTGACCAGCGGTACTTGTGGTGACCAGCGGTACTTGTGAGTGACCAGCGGTACTTGTGAGTGACCAGCGGTACTTGTGGTGACCAGCGTTACTTGTGGTGACCAGCGGTACAGCAGGTGACCAGCGGTACTTAGCGAGTGACAGCGGTACTTGTGGTGACCAGCGGTACTTGTGAGCCAGCGGTACTTGTGAGTGACCAGCGGTACTTGTGAGTGACCAGCGTTCTTGAGTGACCAGCGGTACTTGTGAGTGACCAGCGGTACTTGTGAGTGACCAGCGGTACTGGTGAGTGACCAGCGGTACTTGGTGATGACGGTACTTGTGGTGACCAGCGGTAGAGTGACCAGCGGTACTTGTGGTGACCAGCGGTACTTGGCAGCGGAGTGACCAGCGGTACTTGTGAGTGACCAGCGGTACTTGTGTGAGTGACCAGCGGTACTTGTGAGTGACCGGTTGACTAACGTGGTTTTCCCAGTGTATTTTAAACGGATCTGACCTTAATTGTTGGCGGTGGGCTACCTGACCCCTAGCCAGTGACAGACCCCTGGTAGGCCTAACCTGACCCTAGCCAGTGGCAGACCCCTGGTAGGCTAACCTGACCCCTAGCCAGTGGCAGACCCCGGCCAGGCTAACCTGACCCTGGTGACAGACTGGTAGGCTAACCTGACCCCTAGCCAGTGGCAGACCCCTGGTAGGCTAACCTGACCCCTAGCCAGTGGCAGACCCCCGGTAGGCCTAACCTGACCCCTAGCCAGTGACACACCCCTGGTAGAGCCTAACCTGACCCCCAGCCAGTGACAGACCCCTGGTAGGCCTAACCTGACCCTAGCCAGTGGCAGACCCCCGGTAGGCCTAACCTGACCCTAGCCAGTGACAGACCCCTGGTGAGCCTAACCTGACCCCTAGCAGTGCGGGCCCCTGGTGAGCCTAGCCTGCCCCTAGCCAGTAGCAGACCCCAGTAGGCCTAACCTGACCCTAGCAGTGACACACCCCTGGTAGGCCTAACCTGACCCCTAGCCAGTGACAGACCCCAGGCCTAGCCTGGCCCTAGCCAGTGACAGACCCCGGTGGTACCAACCTGACCCTAGCCAGTGACAGACCCGGTAGCCTAACCTGACCCCTAGCCAGTGGCAGACCCTGGTATTCTGACCCTAGCCAGTGAGACCCTGGTAGCCTAGCCTGACCCTAGCCAGTGACAGACCCTGGTAGGCCTAACCTGACCCCTAGCCAGTGGCAGACCCGTTGGCCTAACCTGACCCCTAGCCAGTGACAGACCCCCCGGTAGGCCTAACCTGACCCCTAGCCAGTGACACACCCCCGGTAGGCCTAACCTGACCCCTAGCCAGTGACAGACCCCCCGGTAGGCCTAACCTGACCCCTAGCCAGTGACACACCCCCGGTAGGCCTAACCTGACCCCTAGCCAGTGACAGACCCCTGGTAGGCCTACCTTAAACTAACCTAAATGCTTCAGTAGTTAATAACTCTGTGACTCAGGACCTAAAGCACAACACCTTAGAGGACCAGAGACACTCAACAACAGGAGAGAATCATCGTCTTTCTCGTAAAACTCGGCAATAAACTTAAAATAATCCTCGGGACACAAATAACGCGATTGGTCGAAAAAAAATTTACGTGATATCGACACATGATTGGTCACGACTGGATGGCGTCGGACAATATTTCACCTGAATGATTGGTCGATAACATCATCTCACAGACCGAAAACTACGTCAAATAAATTAAATTCAATTGTGTCGTTATTATCTGCCATTTGTATAATCAGAATAAACATGTGAATGATTATGTCTCTGGGGGCATTTGTGTCGCCATAGGTCATTTTCGTAACGTAAGTCAGTCTGGCTTCACCAAATTCTCTAACCGCTGCCATTCCTTCCTCTCCAACTGTGTAAATTGTGTGTCATTATTCCTGATCCTTTTAATAAAATATTTACGCATCCGAAGTTTAGAATTACGTATAGAAGCTCCTCACCGACTTACGACCGCCCGGACTTACGACCGCCCGGACTTACGACCGCCCGGACTTACGACCGCCCGGACTTACGACCGCCCGGACTTACCACCGCCCGGACTTACGACCGCCTGGACTTACGACCCGCCTCAGTCTTACCAAAATTTTGTCAAATTACGTATTTTCGAGTCCCGACGTTAGTACACGGAGAAAATTTTCGTTTGTAATTCACTTTAAAATGGCTGGCAAGCTTAAAAGTGAGAGTTTTGTGGTGCTGAGAAGAAAAAGAGACACCCATTTTAGATTTTATATGTATTATTTAAGCATTTTCGACTTACGACCTGGATTTAGGTCCCTAACCCCGTCGTAAGTCGGGGAGGAACTGTATATACAACTTAATTCTTCTTTTGTTTATTTATTAAATGTACAGTATTCTCCTTTTTTTTTTCCATGTATAGTTTCTCTTTAAACAAACAATAAATGGTGTAATTGTGCCATATTTATACTTTTACACGATCATTTTGACACATTGGATTCTCTTGTCGTTGTTTTCTATACCATTAACGGTCATAACAATTCTCTATGAACTGTGTCCTCTCAGCTCCACACCAGGGGGCCTGTACGTCACCTATTACAGTGTGTCATTTACATCGTGTTGACCTGAGGTGGTTGTGATTATCCTTACCGCCATTTATCACACCTAGTTCTTGACGATCCTCATTTGTTGGTTAATATTTCTGACTCTGGTTTAATTATGAACACTTGTAAATGTCCACAGACGCACGAGAGTTATTCTTTCGTGGTAATTGTTAGGTTACGATGTTCTATGTTAACTCTGTGTACTTTCGTTGGGTTTACATACAAAATAAATATGCGATTTGGTTTAATTTTTTTGTACGGGCTATTAGCATGATGTTTAACTCTGAAATAGACACAACAATGCATAGAACCTACTAGAACCGGGCCTATTAAGATGGGTTTGTTAGGTCAGGTTCTGTTAGGTTAAGTTAGATCATTGATGAGAAAGCTGCCCCACAGACTTAAGTGTTTACAAATTGCTTCATAATTTTGGTAGCTCGAGTTTTGACCCCTGACTGTCTCTCTGGTAAAGTAATCCAAAACTTCGACCTCAAATTGCCTCATTATCAGCCTGTAGTACTGTCATTTGAAACACAGTAAAGCACACTGTTTTATATGCCATGAACGAAAACTGAACCAAATCCAGCATCCCCATGACCTCAGTATGACCCATGACCTCTATGCGACCCATTACGATACATCTAACGGCCTCGTGTTTGGGAACCGCTGCACTACAAACACTCGCCTGCAGTAGACAAAAACCTATCATCAGGGTTACGTTCCTGGAAACCTCAGCACCAGTGTCTACCCCACGTTAACCTTTCTCAAGACAGTTTAAAACCTCCATTTCCGTAACAAGGCTAATGGTCTAATGTTGTTTTTCACTACACTAGTATCAGTAGCACTTGATGGGTGTTGGGAAGTCATTTTGAAAGGTTACAGTACAGCCCACACTTGACCCCTTAAGGTACGACCCACACTTGACCCCTTAAGGTACGACCCACACTTGACCCCTGAAGGTACGACCCACACTTGACCCCTTAAGGTACGACCCACACTTGACCCCTCAAGGTACGACCCACACTTGACCCCTCAAGGTATCACCCACACTTGACTTCCAACGTGTTTAAATTATCTCATCCGCATTAAAATCGAACCTCGTTTGACTTCCGATCTCCTCCACCAGATGGCAGAGAGTAAGAGCGGCGGAGACGACGCCCCGGAGAAGTCAGCAGCCACGGAGACCACCAACAACGCAGACACGACCGACACGGAGAGAGAATGGGCGCAGCTGGCACAGTCAGAGTTCACCAAAGGCAACTATGCCACGGCTCTCACCCTCCTGAACCAGCTGTTGGCCTCTAGACCTAAGGATGCCAAGGTGATGACCATAATAATAATAATAATAGTAATAATAATAATAATAATAGTAATAATAATAATAGTAATAATGATAATGATAATAATAATAATAATAATGATAATAATAATAATAATAATAATCCCCCACAGGTGTTAATGAACAAGGCCGTGGTTGACTACTACAAAAGCGACTTGAAAAAAACGGATTCATTTCGCAAACAATTGATTGATATTTGTTCACAGGTAAAGTTGTTTAATGTTTGAGTTGACCTGACCTAATGAATGGTCTAGATAGTTATTCTTTGACCTCCTAGTATGTGACCCCAGGTATGTGACCCCTATTATCTTTGACCCCTAGTATGTGACCCCTAGTATCTTTGACCCCTAGTATGTGACCCCCTAGAGGTGAATATAATTGTCAGGTATTAACTTGACAGAACATTAAAACTGGCGTCCCTGTAGTGAAGATTTTAGTTGAATTACAGGAAGCATTCATTTAATTTTTGTTTATTTAGCAATAATTTGGTTTCGCGATATCGGAGTTTTAATTTTTCTGGTTTAACTATTGGTCAGAGTTTGGTTTAGTGATGTTCTTTCTGGTTTAACTATTGGTCTGAGTTTGGTTTAGCGATGTTCTTTCTGGTTTAACTATTGGTCAGTGTTTGGTTTAGCGATGTTCTTTCTGGTTTAACTAATGGTCAGAGTTTGGTTTAGCGATGTTCTTTCTGGTTTAACTATTGGTCTGAGTTTGGTTTAGCGATGTTCTTTCTGGTTTAACTATTGGTCAGTGTTTGGTTTAGCGATGTTCTTTCTGGTTTAACTATTGGTCAGTGTTTGGTTTAGTGATGTTCTTTCTGGTTTAACTAATGGTCAGAGTTTGGTTTAGCGATGTTCTTTCTGGTTTAACTAATGGTCAGAGTTTGGTTTAGCGATGTTCTTTCTGGTTTAACTATTGGTCAGAGTTTGGTTTAGTGATGTTTCTGGTTTAACTAATGGTCAAAGTATGTATGTATGAATTTTGTTAACTAAATTTTAAACCTTAACAAATCTAGTTAATATTTTGTTATTAACCTGACCTGACCTGACCTGACCTGACCTGACCAGTGTGTGACCAAGTACATATTAGCTTATAAATATATACTGTAATATACTGTAAATATACTTCACTATACTATCTTGTGTTACAGTGCGGGATCAAGATGGATGAGGTGAACTCGACGGATGAGGTGGATAGAAGCGTCATCCACCTGAACCACTGTATTGTGCTGTACCACCTACACCAGTACAGGGCAGCGCTGTCACTACTGGAGAAGATGTACACTAGTCTGGAATCATTAGGTTGGCTTCTCTCTCTCTCTCTCTCCCTCTCTAATTCTCTCTCTCTCTCTCTCTCTCTCTCGACCAGATACGATCGTTGATGGTAAACTGATCTATTCTGAGGTGCTGGAGAAAAAGTTGTTTTATGATAGAAATATTTAACCTAACCCAACGTAACCCAACCAAACCCAACATAACCTAACCAAACCCAACGTAACCTAACCAAACCCAATCAACAGATCATTTTATTTGACAGAGGAGAGCGCAATGTGGTCTGATACCTAGGAGCCCACCACCCCGACAGAGCCCTGGCCGTCATAACACACACAGAGACTCCACCTTCCTGCCTCAGCCTCCCCACACACCCTCACACAAGCAGCCACCGCCTCAAGAGAAGGAGAATAAGTGAGTTTGATTATTGTTTATACTCACGCACACACACACACACACACACACACACACACACACACACACACACACACACACACACACCCGCCTCAACGGAAGGGAAATAGAGCTTGTGTGTTTTTTCTGTTTATTTACGTCTACACTCAAAGGTGCAGCATCTCTGAATGGGGAGGTAGAAACTTGGTTAAATTCAATAGTAATAAAACTCAGTATTTACCAATTACACTTTGTAATTTACATGATCTCCCACCAATTACATTTCAGGATAATATTATTCTGGTAAGTTCTAAAATAGATATGCTAGGCCTCACCATTTCTAATATGTCATGGAAGCCACATATCCTCAACATAGTTAAAGCTGCCTCCAAAGCTGTGAATGCTGTACAGATGCCATAGGTACTTCACCCCTGAGCTGTTGGTTCAAGTATATAAGGGATTAATTGGTCCTAACTTGGAGTACTGCTCTCATATCTGGGGTGGCTCTTCAACTGTTAGATAGGCTGGAATCAAAGGCTTATTAACTCTACTCCTTTAGTTGATAATCTCTTCTCTCTTCACCACAATGTTGCTTCACTTCTCTTTTACACGGGTACTTTATCCAGCTGCACTGCTGGTGTCACAGTGGATGTGGGTCACACTATAATAACCCTTATAGTACATCCTTTCTCACACTGTTGAATGCTCTGCCTCCTTCTGTGTTTCCACAATCTGTCTCACCTAAACAAGATGCTTCTCTGTACATTAATATAACCTTGGATTTTATATTTATTATTGTATATTTTACACCCCAGGTCTAGGTAGGAGAAGGTCACCATTGGCCGACTTGTTCGCCCAAATAAATACAACCAGCCTGTTATTGACACTCTCTAAAACCTCCCCAGATCCCCAGAGAAAGTCAGTGTATCTGGGGGTACAGGCAGCAGCAGCAGCAGCAGTAGCAGCAGCAGTAGCACCACCAGTAGCACCAGTAGCACCACAGATGAGATATGTGCAGCGCCACTCAGGAACAGCTGAGAGGGAAGCTTCAGCAGTTGAGGGTCCGAGCCATGTTGATGATGAGGGCCCTCAGAGTGGCCAAGAAGGAACTCAAGAATATCGTCACTCATGCCGTCACTGCCGGCAACTCTCTGGTAAGGAGGGGCAGTGTTTGGTTGGGTTAGGTTAGGTTTGGTTGGGTTTGGTAAAGTTACGTTGGGTAAATTTAGGTCAGGTTAGGTTAGGTTTCTCAAAAAATATTTCTCAGCCATTACAAGAGACAAAGTTATGTGACTTCCCTATACAAACATTCTCATTATACGTTCACATCATACAGTACAGGCAGTCACTTGGGTTACGTATAATATCCGTACTTGAGTCGATAATACTGTATACGTGAGTCAGGTGGTATACCCTCTGTGAACCATACTCACAGACCAGTGTTTATAATACCACTATGTCACAGCCTAAGGCCTACATCTAAAATAACTGATGATGAAAGAAGAAATAAAATGACAGAATAGAAGTTAATAATAAGTCATGTGGTAAATAAAATACTGTTTTTAAAGTTTGACCTCAGTATTATCAGTGGACATTGTTAAGATAGATATAATGTGGTCTGGGGACTGGCTGTATAATGTATTCTCACAGTTTATAATGTCTGAGTGAAATATATAATGATTGTTGTTCACCTTTATCATTGTTTGGTTATATATTACTGAATTATTTCTTGCTTTGATGTAATGATTACGGTATAATGAACGAGTTAGGCTGTAGGGACGGTGGCCATCGTCAGTGGTAGTTAACACACTGACTCACACCTTAATCTTTCAACAGAACGTCACTTTAATCAGCCTTAAGAGCCAGCTGGAATATCTTCGAGGGAACTTCCGTAAAGCGATCAAAGTGCTGAACCAATGTGCTGCCATACCTCCACCAAGCCCGTTAGTATATGTACCCCTCCTGTAAACTATATCAGTGCTGTTTGTATGGTAAAAGTTGCCATACATGTTAGTTATTGTGTTTATAGAGTGTAGGTATACAGTTTAACCTGTATACAGTCAGTGTAGGTATAGGTTGAAGGCCAATATAAGATCATTAACTGTCTGTCTCTCACACAGAACCTATGGCCCTAGTTTAGGTGTTATGTACTACAATAACCTGGGGTCATACACTTAGGGTGGTAAGCCTACAGTGGCCTGCCTCTACCTGCAGAAGGCCCTGCAGGAGACACAGGAACTGGACGACCCTACTGCTGCCACCCAGTCAGGTAAACATTGGGTATACGTTGCTCAACCTAACCTAAACTAACGTATCCATACCAAATTTAACCTAACCTAAAGTAATCTAACCTAACCTAACTTAACATAATTTAAAGTAACCTAACTTATTTATTCCTAAACTAACCTAACGGATCTATATGTAGCCATCTATCCATCAATATCCATCTCTCGACAGGTGATCTACTATCAACACGACCACTGTACCAACTCAGCAGCAATATACAGCCAGAGTTGTACTATAACCTTGGGGTAACTCTCCTGCACATGAGCAAACCAGACAAGGCCTTTGATTTTCTCCTGGAGGTTCTTCAAGTCCACAGCATGAACCCTCGTCTGTGGCTGAGGCTGTCTGAGTGCTGTATTGCTGTTCATAAATCTGTAAGTACTAGATGTCTTGTTTAATGCTTTATCTAACAGACATATGAGGGAGATCTTTATTTAACAGACATGTGAGGGAGGTATGTCTGGGTTTTAAGGTCTGTGGCTGAGGCTGTCTGAGTGCTGTATTGCTGTTCATAAGTTTAAGTACTAGATGTCTTGTTTAATGCTTTATCTAACAGACATATGAGGGAGATCTTTATTTAACAGACATGTGAGGGAGGTATGTCTGGGTTTTAAGGTCTGTGGTTAAGGCTGTCCGAGTGCTGTATTGCTGTTCATAAATCTGTGTACTAGATGTCTTGTTTAATGCTTTATCTAACAGACATATGAGGGAGATCTTTATTTAACAGACATGAGGGAGGTATGTCTGGGTTTTAAGGTCTGTGGCTGAAGCTGTCTGAGTGCTGTATTGCTGCTAAATCTGTAAGTATTAGATGTCTTGTTTAATGCTTTATCTAACAGATATATGAGGAGATCTTTATTTAACAGACATGTGAGGAGGTAAGGTTGGGTGTTAAGGCTATCTGGGTGATATGAATACAGTACAGGCAGTCACTTGGGTTATGATAATTTCCGTTTCTAAGTTGAAAATATACTTGAGTCAGGTCGTATACACCTGTGTAGACCATACTCACAGACCAGTGTTTAGAATAGCACTATATCACAGCCTAAGGCCTACATCTATAATAACTGATGATGAAAGAAGAAATATAATGAAAAAGTAAATAAAAGTTAATAATAAGTCATGTGGTAAATAAAATACTGGGAATTTAAAGTTTGACCTCAGTTGTATCAGCGGACATTTGTAAGGCAGGGAACTATTGTATATTATTTACAAACTTGGAAACATATTAAATAACAGTGTATTCTATTAAATATTTGTACATTAGAATATCATTAGAGTCAGGTCGAGACAGACTAATGTATAGTGCGTTTTTTTCCAGATGAGAAAAGATGTCGCCCCTCCTCAATACTCACAGCTGATTGGCTGTTCAAACCTGCAGATATCGTCCTCAAGTAATGATGTATTTATTAAGGAGTTTATTAATAATGACCGTTTTTATGATAAAGATGTTTAGTTAAATTATATAAAGATTCATACATTAATTATTTCAAACATGAACACGGAGGAAGTTTATCAGAAATATTATACAAGAATTAACTGTTAAACTCTGGTGGCAAATTGATGCTTTCGGAGGACGCATTTAATATATACTTATTTTTACCACAATAAGATACTAAGACTAATTACATATCAGTAATATTACACTATGTAAAAACTAACATTTTAAAAGATCAGAATTACATTGAAATATTACTTGGCCGTCAACAGAGGCGAGAAACATGAAGTTGTTAACAGTTAATTCTTGTATAATATTTCTGATAAACTTCCTCCGTGTTCATGTTTGAAGTAATTAATGTATGAATCTTTATATAATTTAACTAAACATCTTTATCATAAAAACGGTCATTATGAATAAACTCATTAATAAATACATCATTACTTTAGGACGATATCGAACAGGTTTGAAACAGCCAATCAGCTGTGAGTATTGAGGAGGCGCAGGCATCTCTTCTCAGCTGGGAAAACGCGCTATAGTGAACAATGTTGAGGTGTGGTCGGTGAAACACTCGTTCAGTACAGTATAGTTTGGTGATGGGGCAGAAGGCCTTGATGTACTAGGGTATGTTGGTTAGGTTAGGTTAGGTTAAATTATTGTATTAATATTAATGACGTGTGTTGGTCAGGGTGTGAAGGAAGGCGTGGGCAGCAAGAGGTCCATCGTCCAGGGAACTGTAGGAGTCAGCGTCCATAGAAAGATCTGCATCGCTACACGGATCACCGACCACAACAAGAAACAGTGAGTATTACCCTAACCTAACCTAACCTAACCTAACCTAACCTAACCTAACCTAACCTAACCTAACTAACCTTATCAGTGAAGGCTTTAACATAGGTGATATAGTCAGTTTCTCTTCATTATATATCAAGCATCTCCATCTTCTCATGACAGGCGGTGGGATGGTGGCTGTGGAGGTTTAAATTTTCTAGTGTTAAATTTCAGCTCACGTGCCTTATGCCACTGTGGCTCGTGGAACACAAATATATCTGTAATTCCTAAACTTTGGTCCAATTACTTATTATTATTGTTAGGGAGAGCAGCGACCAGTGACCCTCCTCTTAACAAGCTGCTGAGTCTTACCTGGACACAACAGAGAACAGAATACAGCTCCTCCCGACTTCGACGCCCGGACTTACGACGCCCGGACTTACGACGCGGACTTCCCGGCCCGGACTACGACGCCGGACTACGACCGCCGGACTACGACCGCCGGACTACGACCGCCGGACTACGCCCGGACTTGACACCGGACTTACGACCGCCCGGACTTCGACGCCGGACTACGACCGCCGGACTTGACCGCCCGGACTTCAACCCGCCTGGACTTACGACCGCCGGACTTCTGACCGCCCGGACTTCGACCACCCACACCACGACGCCCGACTTACGACCCGCCTATCATGCCAAAATTTTGTCCAAATTACGCATTTAGAGTAGCATGAGTGACAAAATTTTCGTTTGTAATTCACTTTAAAATGGCTGGCAAGGTTAAAAGTGAGAGTTTTATGGTACTGAGAAGAAAAAGAGACAACCAATTTAGATTTTCTATGTATTATTTAAGCATTTTCGACTTACCACCTTGGATTTGGTTCCCTAACCCCGCCGTAAGTCGGGGAGGCGTTAATTGTTCACAACACTGTTAACAGGGTAATGTCTTCACAGCTGGACTCCACCAGTTAACAATTCTTTAGTCTTCTCAGTTTGTATTAACCACACCAATTGTCATCAGTTGTTCTGCTGGGCTCGGTCTTTACACTAGGTACAAACCATCGACTCACTCTAGGCCGCTCACTGCTGCTTATATGCAGTAACATGTCAGACTCCTTGACCATCCTAGCGACACTCCCACGGGAGGTCGACTCAAGACCCACCTGGGGAACTCTAGAATGATTGACGCTTAAAATAATAAATAAATCAGAACAAAAATGATACAATACATTTTAGAATATTCTTACATAATTAATACATCAATATATATAAAAATATCACTAAAATTGCCCAATTGATTGTTGCTTGGGACAGAAAATAATCAAAACATCGAGTTTATAAAATTATAACACGAAATTATGACTCGATATAACAATAGTATTAAGGTGTTATATCAGGTGAGACTACTTAAAGGTGTCAATAATTATACCTACAGGTGAGACTAATTACCTAAGGTGTCAATAATTATATCTACAGGTGAGACTAATTACCTAAGGTGTCAATAATTATATCTACAGGTGTGGCTAATTACTTACAGGTGTGACCCACACTCCCAGTCTGACGCAGCCTTCCCTGAACCCATGGGAGTTCGCTCGCTTGTGTTTACGTAACGCTCTGGCCCTACTGCCTGAGAACGTCTCCACCACCTCACTCACCGACGAACAAGAGACCTCAGGTATGGTGTTGTAGGTATGATATATAGTGTATGGTGACTTATGGTGTAACATATTGTATGGTGCTTCAGCAGGGGTAGAAATTTACCTCATAAGGGCGACAAAATTTTACTATGACTGTGGCAAGAGGTACAATGTGAATAAGAGCCTCATGTAGAGAATACACTATTAATGCTAGTTATCTTACTATTAATGCTAGTTATCTTACTATGCTAGCGTTATGAGACTGGACAAGTGAGTTGGTATAATGCCACCTACACCACCAGGCCGGTATGACGCCACACATAGATAACACCGCCAGTGGGTCGGTTTGTGGAAAACCGTGCTGTAATGAATAAACTCAGTCTAATTAGTAGATGTACAATTATTATTGGCGAATTCATTTCTATACATAATATATAAAAGCAATGGCAGGAAATATATTACCTGAATGTTTAATAGGCTAGAATAAAAACAATTGACAAGTGATGAAAACTGCCTTTCATCGACAATCACGCCATTTATTATCAAAAAACAATTTCAAGTACATATCGAGATTATCACCCGATATAACGAGGTATCAAAAAATAATAACGCCTCTGAAATTTGACCAATTCACACGTTCATTCAAAATCAACTAGTAATTAACTATTGTATTATAGAACAAAGTGAATTATAAAGATCTACTATAAGAATTTGGTCTTGGTTAAAAGCTTTCACACATTCTTATTTTTTACGCTAACCTTATCATTATTTCTTTGGCATAAATTATATATTATTATTATTATCCAATTGGGAAGCACTGGTGGAACTACACCAGGTTTCAGTCCAAGTAGATCTAAATAGTATGTTATAGTTCGTCCAGTGTGTTCATCTAAATAACTTGGTGACCGTTCATAATAATCAGAGGGTTTAAAGTGCAGTTCACAAACACAGAAATTCACTTGATAGTTATACAATATGAGATTTTTATTGTCTTTAATTCAAAATAAGTGGATGAATATGGTTTACATTTGGATTAGGAAGTAATTTTGATACAGCTCCTCCCCGACTTACGACCTCTGCGACTTACGACCGCCCACACTTACGACCCGCCTCAGTCGTACCAAAATTTTGTCAAATTACGCATTTTCGAGTCCCAACGTCAGTACACGGACAAAATTTTCGTTTGTAATTCACTTTAAAATGGCTGGCCAGCTTAAAAGTGAGAGTTTTGTGGTGCAGAAGAAAAAGAGACACCCATTTTAGATTTTCTATGTATTATTTAAGCATTTTCGACTTACGACCTGGATTTGGGTCCCTAACCCCGTCGTAAGTCGGGAGAACTGCATATTGGTACATTCTAAATAGCTTCATCACAATGTGCTCTATGCTATTAATTCAGTTAATATACAATTATCCCAGTGTTGGTTTATGATTTAATATGATTTCTACTTGTAAATAAATGTCACACAGTAAATAGAACTTTGTATAAGTGCTAGTAAAAAATTATAATGACTAGTAAATTTTCAAATCTACTAGTCCTGCTGAACTATGAAAAGATGGTGATTTTCTACCCCTGTTCTGGTGTGATGGTGACATGGTTTAACATATTGTATGGTGCTGTAGGTATAAATATAGTGTATGGTGACATGATGTAACATTAGTGTATGGTGCCTCAGGTGTGATGCCGGAGATGTACTCGGCTGGTCCATCATCGCCACTACGAGGGACGGAGGTTGTTAGTCTCAGGGTCTCAGCCCTGGCCTGTAGCGCTTATGTCAGCTTGTGTCTCTTTGACTACGCCACGGCTCTCAGACCCCAGAGACCCTACTGGCCGCTCACCCCAAGATTCCTGGTGTTTACAAGTTAGTTTGGTTGGCTTGGGGTTGGGTTAGGTTAGGTTGAGACATATTCTAAAGACATAGTGTGTGGTATAGTGGTCTAATATGTCCCAATGTGTGGTATAATGGTCTAATATGTCCCAGAGTGTGATATAATAGTCTAATATGTCCCCTGCAGGTTACTAGGGCATCTGTACGCCGGTGAGGCCCTCATATGCCTGGGCAAGGTGGGGAAGCCATCGCTCATCTTGACCCTCGACAGGTGGGGGATCTAAGCCTCTGCCCTCCCACACAAGATGCCTCTCAAACTACCTCGTTTAACCTCCCTAGCCAAGGTGGGTATGTGACCTGACCTGACCTGAGTGGTGTATGACTAATGGTGACCTGACGTGACCTAAGTGGTTAATGACCCCTAAACACCTGACCTGACTTAACCTAACCAAACCAAGGTATGTATTGATTCATGGTGACCTGACCTGTGACCTGACCAGTGTTTAAAATACCACTTTATCACAGCCTTAGGCCTACATCTAAAATAACTGATGATGAAAGAAGAAATGACAAAACCAACCAATCAGATTGATGCTTAGAAATGTAGTGGCTCCTCATGTGTCCATCCACCAACCAATCAGCTGTCTTGTTACAAATTGTCCCTCACTCACTCCAGGCCATAGATTAGAGTTAGTTCGGCCAACCAAACGCCATATTGTTACTCAGCAGGTGGAATGTCTTCTCGGGCTCTCTACCTTAGATGATATACTTATCTAATTATAAACCTGTATGACACTTTTACAGAATAAACATTATCATTATCATCATCATCATTATCATTATCATCATCATTATCATTATCCTGTACAGTATGAGTGCAAACCTCTTCATCAGGTGAGTAACAATATGGCGTCCACATGTCAGAGAGTTGACCGAAATATCTCTCTTATTTTACAGCTCTGAACAGATCAGGGTACAGTATTTATGATGGCCACTGTACTGTACTAATAATACTGATAATACTGTACTGTACTGATAATACTGTACTAATAACACTGTACTATTGACAGGATGGTACCCAGGCAATACAACAACAGCTATGCAGGTAATGCGATACAACCTGAGTGTTGCTTATACCCTGAGGGGGGAGCTGGAGAAGGCTAATAATCTACTGAAGGAGGTAAGTCACCCCTAACCTAACCTACCCTAACGTCTCCTAACCTAACCAAACCTAAATGTGAACAGATACGTTACATTTGGCATTCATGTTAACTGTATTCAGAACGCCCAAGGCTCTCTCTGATGCCTGGGGGAGAATGAACAGAAAATGCCCAGAAAAATGCCCAAGACAATAGGCTATTATTGTTTTTGTTTTGTTTTTTATGGTCGAGTTTGTCATTTAACCGAGGATGTATCGTGGAATCTTGATATAGGCAGTAAACTATTATTAATTGGCTGAGGTGTCTATTGTATAATGTTATCAGGTCATGTCAAGCACTTCTGGAGGTGATAGATTATATAGGTCATGTCAAGTACTTCTGGAGGTGATAGATTATATAGGTCATGTCAAGCACTTCTGGAGGTAATAGATTATAGGTCATGTCAAGCACTTCTGGAGGTGATAGATTATAGGTCATGTCAAGTACTTCTGGAGGTGATAGATTATAGGTCATGTCAAGCATTTCTGGAGGTGATAGATTATAGGTCATATCAAATACTTCTGGAGGTGAGGGAAACTACTGCAGATCATGTCATTAGGGTTGTTTGGTAGAGGTGATTTGACATGATACTCTATAACTGGCTTTACTGGTACACAGATTACTGCTAGGAGATACACTGACTTGATGCACTCAGGGTAGATGATGACCATTTATAATTAGTGGTGGATGTAGCCATTACTTCCCTCAATGAAAGGTTCCAGATCTTAGGAGAGGTGAAGTGACATGTTCAGGACCTAAATGCAACACTGAGCAACACTCTTCTGAAGCTGAGTCAGATATTAATGGCAGGGGATTAACTGTGGCACTACAAAGTTTTCTACAAGTAACATTAAGTAACATGACAATCAATGGAACTTGGTATTTTGTTCCATGGGAAGAAACATGTGGGCAGGTGACCGAAATTGATCCATTAACGAACTAAGGTCTAATGTGATGCAAGAATGTTTCACTGGACCGACTTATCAGTGTGAATCAAGAGTTTTCAGACTTTTATGAGATGATTGACACAAGAGATGACTTTGATGTAACAATTAGCCTTGGTGTAGACAATACAGGTACAGTGGTCCCTCGGTTAACGAACACAATTCGTTCCACAGATTTGTTCGTTAACCGAAAATTTTGTTAACCGAATCTATTACTTCTTTGGGATATTGGGTAATTGGTTCCAGCTCTCAGAAAAAGTATACGCCACAAGTACTGTGCTGGTAATAGAATTAACAAAACAATAAAACTAATACAGTACTGTACTGTATACTGTATAATAATAAATAAAAATAGAATACTGTATTTTAACACTCTGAGGTGTTGTATTTTATATCAAACGGCTGATTATAGAGGCAGTCGATGATGGCGTCCATATTCTTCAGAGTCCATTGGTTCTAAAGCCTTCTTCATGTTTCATAATAATCTCTTCACTATTTATCAATATGTTCACTAAATTCAGAATGACCAATAATTTTAATATAAAAATGCAGAAATATTCAAGAGACCAAGTTTCTTGATATTTACTTCACTGGAAACGAATATAAACATAGAACCATTTACTGTGTTGGCGGGACCGGCCGATCAGCTGATCGCCCTAACAATCGTGTTTCTCGTGAGAGTTTTAGGCTAATCGAACTGAAAATCCTTATGGGAGCTAATTCGTTAACCAAAATTTCGTTAACGAGGACCACCCGTGGACCTAAACAATACAGACATGTGAACAATGACTGTATATAGAGTTGGCAGACACAGATAGACAAGAAACAATAATTACAATACCTCGTTAAACTGATGCCTTCATTACAGGTTAAACTGATGCCTTCATTACAGGTTAAACTGATGCCTTCATTACAGGTTAAACTGATGCCTTAATTACAGGTTAAACTGATGCCTTCATTACAGGTTTGATGCCTTAATTACAGGTTAAACTGATGCCTTAATTACAGGTGTGGACTGAGAGCAATGGGAGCATGCCAGCACAGGTGATCATGTTGGCTATGTATATTCAGCTCGTGGTGGTGTATTATGGTCCATGTATAGGGTGTGTCATAGGCTGTGTACAGGGTGTGTCATAGGCTGTGTACAGGGTGTGTCATAGGCTGTATACACTGGTTCTTAATGTATACTTAACCAGAGCTAAGTAACCAAATGTGTTACTTTAGGTCTGTACTCAAGTAACATTATTGGGTGTGGTGGGTATGGTGTGGGTGTGGTGGGTATGGTGTGGGTGTGGTGGGTATGGTGTGGCTGTGGTGGGTGTCGGGTATGTAGAGGTCTCCTGAAGTGAGGTCAGGTCAGGTCAGGTGGCAATTACAGCAGACTTACCCTTTGATTTTCTTGTGGGGCACTTGATGGTAGAGCAGTTTCACACTTGCCTCTGGCGAGAGGTCCACGGGTTCGATTCGGGCAGTGGAAGTTGTCTGGACACTCTTCCTAGCCCTCATTAGTCCCTGTTCACCTAACGCGCAGTAGGTACCTGGTGTGAGTCGAAAGATGTGAATTCGTATTCAGGGACAAGTTGTTGGGCTTATAGCATTGGCCATAACCATTGACTCTTCCAGGCTTCTCGCCCTCGACTCTTCAGGCTTCTCGCCTCGACTCTTCAAGCTTCTCGCCCTTGACTCTTCAGGCCTTCTATGCCCTGGGCGCCCTGGACTCTTCAGGCCTTCTCGCCCTTGACTCTTCAGGCTTCTATGCCCTCGACCCTTCGATCTCGCCCTTGACTCTTCAGGCCTTCTCGCCCGCCCGACTCTTCAGGCTTCGCCCTCGACCCTTCGACTTCGCCCGCCAACTCTTCAGGCTTCTCGCCCTTCCAGCCCGCTGGACCTCACCCTCGACCCTTCAAACTCTACGCCCTCGATCCTTCAGGCTTCTCGCCCTCAGTCCTTCAGGCTTCTACGCCCTCGATCCTTCAGGCTTCTACGCCCTCGATCCTTCAGGCTTCTACGCCCTCGATCCTTCAGGCTTCTCGCCTCGATCCTTCAGGCTTCTACGCCCTCGATCCTTCAGGCTTCTACGCCCAATAAACCTTATGTGATCCTCTGACTTTTATCTTTAGTTAACAAGTTTATTATAATTTACTGTTGATTTATTTTAATATTTAAGACAAATAATAATTTTGTTGTTACTTTCACTACTTGAGAACTTTATGAATGAGTTACTTATTTACTGCTACTTGAGTAACATCTCACCAATGTAACAATACTTTAACTGAAGTAACAAAGTCCAATACTTTATACAACTGTCCTTAACCTAACTTATATATATGACTCTATTTCCTTAACCTAACTATATATGTGACTCCCTATTTCCTTAACCTAACATATATATGACCCCTATTTCCTTAACCTAACATATATATATGACCCCCTATTTCCTTAACCTAACCTTTTCTATGTGTATAAAATAGGTTATTCCCCTCACAGGTCATGTTGATGTCATGAAGAACATCGTCAAAAAAAAACATCCTGTTGACCTGATCACTGTGAGGTCACCTTACCAGGGGTCAACGACGCTCTACCTACGAGACAAGTGTTCAGTCCCGGGGCCTGGCAGGGTCTGGTGTGTTGTAGAGGACAGTTTAGTGGCACATTATCACACTGTATAAATGTGTTACTGCACCCCATCTTGACCTGACCTGACCTGACCTGACCTAACCTAACCTGACCTAACCTAACCTAACCTGACCTAACCTAACCTGACCTAACCTAACCTGACCTAACCTAACCTGACCTAACTTAACCTCACCTGACAGTACAGTAGTATATTAGAGGATAACTGTATATATATATAATAATAATAATATACAGTCTATAGTGGTGAAGGATTTGCCTCAGTATACAGTATCCACACCGCCCCTTAATACACCATCAAGCCTGTGTGTGAGTCAATCAAACACACTTAACACTTAACACACTTAATAAAGTTTATATTAAGTTGTAGTAGAAAGTTAATTAATTTTCAGTGACATAGTGTATTTATGTAAATTTATTGAATGTGTACATAATGTGGGGTACACAGTGATGTACCCAAATCACGAGAAAGGTTGAAGATTAGTTACTGTCTCCATCACACACACAGACACACACACACACACAGACACACAGACACACACACACACACACACACAGACACACACACACACACACACACACAGACACACACACACAGACACACACACACACACACACAGACACACACACACACAGACACACACACACACACACACACACACACACACAGACACACACACACACACACACACACACACAGACACACACACAGACACACACACACACACACACACACACACACACACACACACACACACACACACACACACACACACAGACACACACACACACACACACAGACACACAGACACACACACACACACACACACACACACACACACACACACACACACACACACACACACACACACACACACAGACACACACACACACACAGACACACACACACACACACACACACAGACACACACACACACACACAACACACACACACACACACACACACACACAACACACACACACACACACACAACACACACACACAGACACACACACACAGACACACACACACACACACACACAGACACACACACACACACACACACACAACACACACACACACACAGACACACACACACACACACACACACACACAGACACACACACACACACACACACACACACACACACACACACACACACACACACACACACACACACACACACACACACACACACACACACACACACACATTGTTTCACCATAACTGAACCACTAAATCATTTCCACTAATCACCTCGTGTATTTGATGTTTATTACTAATGTATTATACTGTACTGTATTATACTGTACTGTACTGTACTGTACTGTATTGTACTGTACTGTATTGTATTATACTGTACTGTATTGTATTATACTGTACTGTATTGTATTATAGTGTACTGTACAGTTAACCCTCACTTTACGCGGTCCCACATTCCGCGTTTCCACGCTACGCGGTGCCCTGCGGAACCCAGGATGCTCACATTCATGCAGTGCGTGTACCCCTTCTGGCTGAGAAAGCTGGCGGGCAGCGCCATTTTGATCCAAACCTCCCGCCATCCGCCATGTTGTGTAAGCTGCTTGCTTGAAACATAGATGCGCCTACAAATGCCCAGTCATCAAAACATTACCAGTTCTTCACCGCCACCCACCACAGCCGGCCCAAGTCAGTGATAGTGATAATTATGGTGAGGATATGGACTTATATGGACTTTGGGAGTTTGACAAAGAGGCCCTGAAACTCTGTGGTGGATAGTGATACAATTGATACAGTGACACAGGTGAGGGCCAATAATCTGCCTCTGCCTCGGAACAACCGCCCATCCCGTGTGCCCAGCCATTTTTCTACTAATGTAAGTGTTAAAACCTAATATTATTGATATTTCTCTTAATTATTAATTGTGTGTGCATACCATCATAAAAGTTAAGATAATATTTTACTACAACATAGTTGTGTGTGTCGTCAAAAAGTGGGTTGGGATCGGCCCGGACTCCATTTCAATTAATCCCATATGTTATGTTATTCACTTTACGCGGGACCCTCCGGGTTACATTAACCGCGTAAAGTGAGGGTTAACTGTACTGTATTGTACTGTACTGTACTGTATTATACTGTATTATACTGTACTGTACTGAATTAGACTGTACTGTACTGTATTATACTGTACTGTATTATACTGTACTGTACTGTATTATACTGTACTGTACTAGATATACTGTACTGTACTGTATTATACTGTATTATACTGTACTGTACTAGATATACTGTACTGTACTGTATTATACTGTATTGTATTATATTATACTGTTTGTACTGTATTATACTGTACTGTATTGTATTATACTGTACTGTACAGGGTGACTATGAAAGAATCCTCCATATACTGTTCTCCATAAGTAATATTTTATGTATAGATTATACTGTATACATACATTCATTATACTGTATTTATGTATAGATTATACTGTATACATACATTCATTACTCTGTATTTTATATAACAAATTATGTACTGTATATATATATAAACTACTGGTACTGTATAACTTGACAATGTGTATTATGTGGTTCCTATTATGTGGTTTGGCCGACTAGTGTGTGCAGTGACCCTCAGAGTGTGTGTAGTCAGTCAGGCAGAGGTGTAGTGACCCTTACACTCTGACCCATCCATCACCTCCTACACAGTTCATGAGGGACTTATTTATTTTTTTCTAGTTTTATTTGATATTTTCTATAGTTTTAAGTCACATCTCAAGGCTACACAGCTGCCTGGTAAGTAGGTGATATCTGCGGTGTGTGTATATGGGACCCACAGGCATGTCTGTACCGATAATAGCCACGTGTGTATCTCAACAACAATGACTCGTAAGACATTTTTCAACATTTTAAAATAATTTCTTAAAGATTCGTGATGTTACTGTGAGGTTTTTACTGCATTTATATTGATTTTTTCATACTATTGTGCTTTAGTTTGACTCTGTGTTGGAGAAGAGCCACAACTCAGGTTAATGGAGCTTGTATAATGGAACCCTCACAATTTTCCACCATAATATTAAGGAATTATTTACTTCATATCAGGTTTTTGCTGAACATTATCATCTCATATAACAAAGGTCAGGTGTATTGTGTATTAATTATGATGTGACAGTATGATTTCTTTTGTAGACAACCTGTATGTGTTGAAATTGTTAAGATGGTACAGATGGCCTGGCATAGTGTTGGTGATAATTTGACCCCGTAACTGTAAGGTCTTTACACATTTATTATCTATGTACAGACAACCGTGTATGTAATCATTTATAAGTAATGCTGAACTAGGGTTAATGTGTATCAAGTCTTGGTACACAAAATATGGCATTACCAAAGTGGACCACTAAGTTGATAAATAAATGTAACAGTAAAATTGTATTAAACATCACCTGACCGTATGTACAGACCTGGGACTATTGTTTAACATTTATTAATCAACGGCAATCCATGGATGTTTGTGGCGCCCCAGCCAGCATGAAGCTAGGGAGGTACGCTTTAAGACCGAGCATAAGATGAGAAAAAATGGGAGTCCGTGAACCCAGAAGGCCAGGGTTCTCCCCCAAGAGGATCCTCAACCACTGAACCACTGGACAAACAAGCATGTTGGTCCAAAAGCCTCCTGACCCCAGCTCAAAGGGATAAAGAAATATGTGAACCAAATTCTTCAGGTCTGGAAACTTGAGGACTCCCAAGACCCTTATAAAAAGGTATCCTAAACATCCTAACACTGACTCCTAGACACACTACTGGTCCAAGGGCAGTGTCCCCCTCAGAGAAACAGGTTAGGCTCCTGACCCCTGAGATAAAGGGTCAGGAGCAGTTAATAGATGACACACTCCTTATGATTGGTTCTGATGAAATAAACCCAACCTAACCCACCTCTTGCCCCTAACCCACCACCTCTTGCCCCTAACCCACCACCTCTTGCCCTAATCTAACCCACCACCTCTTGCCCTTATCTAACCCACCACCTATTGCCCCTAACCCACCACCTCTTGCCCTTATCTAACCCACCTCTTGCCCAACCCACCACCTCTTGCCCCTAACCCACCACCTCTTGCCCTAACCCACCACCTTGCCCTAATCTAACCCACCACCTCTTGCCCTAATCTAACCCACCACCTCTTGTCCTAACCCACCACCTCTTGCCCTTATCTAACCCACTCTCTTCCCCTAACCCACCACCTCTTGCCCCTAACCCACCACCTCTTGCCCTAATCTAACCCACCACCTCTTGCCCCTAACCCACCATCTCTTGCCCCTAACCCACCACCTCTTGCCCCTAACCCACCAACTCTTGCCTTTATTTAGTGTTTTATTAAGTGTTTTAATTACTTATATTCAACCTAATTCAACTTAATCCATCTAAATTAATCCAACTTAACCTGTGTTAATCCCTGTACACCCTAACTAGTGATATTCTCCCCCGTCGACATATTTCTTGTTGTATAGACCAAGGAGCTGCCAGGCCAGTCATCGTGGAGGTCATTAAACCATTACACCGCCGCCATTAAGATGAAAAGGATTGAAAAAGTTGATAAAATAAGACGCCATTTGACCACCCAGCTGCCCCCCACCTGTCAGGGTTATATAGTTGATATTTAACAAAATGTCTAAAATAAATGTAGTTATACCTTAATAATTTAGATTATAATGACGAAAATATTTAATTTTTTCGATTAAACTACTTAGAATGGGATTATGGTCTACTAAAGATAAATATTTAATTTTTTATCAATACATAACCGGGTTTATATACATAATGGCAGATAAATAATGTTAAGAAATAAACTGAACATTCCTCAGAAAATTAATTAGTTGTTTTACGATATAATAATCAATACATCAGTTTAAAACATATATAAATACTAATAAATATATATAATATTTTTACCATAAGATTTCATCGTAAATTTAGTTTATATTTCATGAATTATTATAGTCTAGGCAGGAGTGATGGTCGTGGTAGTATCATCAACATAACCGAGGCATCATGGCCGTCCCAGAGATCATCATCGGGACTAATGAAGAATATATCTTAGGTTATCAATTATCTCCACAACAGGTCAGTAACAACACCTATCTTATTACTAACAACTTAATTAACTCTTTAAGTCTTATTTTATTCCAGGTTAACCAGTGACTTGTTGAACTGAGGTGATACTTGGTGCTCATAGCTTGACCTCATATTTAACGGACTATCTTAAAGGAATTCCGTTATATAGAGGGTTAATTATATGTAAAACTTCCATATAACGAACTATATCAAGGAGGAGTTCGTTATATGGAGGTAATATTGACAATAGACCAGCCAACACGGGATTAATTTGTGGCTATTATGATCAGTTCCTATTAACGCTATTTTACCGTGACAGGTTAGGTTAGGTTTGGTTAGGTTAGGTTTTGGGTATTGTTTTGATTTGACCAGCCAATCAGAGCACTCACGGTTAAATAGCGCTACTAGGAACTGAGTATAATAGCCACTGTTTAAAATACAGATTAGTATTTTATCACCACAGTAACAGTATCACCACAGTAACAGTATCACCACAGTAACAGTATCACCACAGTAACAGTATCACCACAGTAACAGTATCACCACAGTAACAGTATCACCACAGTAACAGTATCACCACAGTTGTATCACCACAGTAACAGTATCACCACAGTAACAGTATCACCACAGTAACAGTAAAGTTCGTTGTCATCAGGATGGGACAGTGTCACTACGCCAGACCTTCGCTGACCACTCACACTCCGGCAGTGTCCGTCAGGTGGCTGTCAGTGGCAAGTACCTGGTGTCTGGAGCCTCGGATGAGACCCTCAGAGTGTTCAATCTACGGACGCGTGCTGAGGTTGGCATCATCATGGAGCATCAAGGTATAGTTCTTGGTTTACCCTTAATTACTGACTGTCATTAGTGGAGGTTAGGTTAGGTTTGGTTTATGTTAGGTTATATTATGTTAGGTTATATTAAGTCGGTTATGTTGAAATTGGAACCGACTCTGTATGGGTAGAAATCACGAAGGAAGAGAAAACTAATTATGGGAGTGATTTACAGGCCCCCAAGTCTTGGCAAAGAAGCAGCTCAGCCAATATGGCAGGAAATGAGTAGGGCAGCAAAATATAATAACCTCTGCATTATGGGGATTTCAACTTCACAAATATTGACTGGGACAATAGTGACTATGAATCTGATGACTTCCTAGAGCGCAGTACAGGACTTTTTGAAACAACTAATTACAGAACTTACTAGAGGTGACAATATATTAGACCTAGTATTAACAAATAAAGAAAATATTATCAGAGATATCACAGTAAAGAACTGAAAAACAGTGATCACAGAGAAATCAAGTTCACCAAATTGGATAACAAAAACAATGACAATATGGTCAGAGTCCCAGACTTTTTGGTTGGCGATTAGGGGTTAAGAAGGTACCTAGGTGAGGTCGCCTGGGAACAGCGTCCAGGTCATAGATGACACAACAATTGATCATGACTATAATATATTCACTAGTATACTACATAAAGCACAAGAACAAAATATACCATACAGAAAAATTAGGTCATAAGAATGAGCCAAGGTGGATGAAGAAAAACTTAAACATGACATAGGAATAAAGAAAGGAATATATAAGAAATTAAAGGGAGGGAGGAGCAGCTCAGAAACAGGTACAGGGGGATGCTCTAACGAACGTAATTGGTTCCAGAATCTCGTTCGTTATAGCATTCGCTCAAGTAGGATTAATCCGTTCAGGCCCCAAATACAACCGCTTAACACTGAAAAAATTCTGGAAAATGTAAAAATACGGCATTTATCTTACCTTAGTGTTATTCAGCATGCAGGTACCCCTAAACACTGGCACATCACTATCACTTCCACTGGGAGTCTTGGCTTTAAGGTCCTCAAACAATTGTTTAGCTCTCACAAATTATAGCTTCACTAATGTTACCACCTGCCATTTCTTTCTCCTTTATCCACACTAAGAAAAATTTTCATCTCTTCAATCACATTACACTTTGCTTTGCTAAGTCTAAAGATTCCTTAGCCACTTGCACAGTTTTTAACTCCTTCTTATTCTTCAAAATCGCATATATAGCGATTTAGCCATCCCATGTTCATCACTAAGTTTCTGCAATGCTTCTTCCATTCTCACTTTCTTATAATTTCTTTCTTAGTTTCAAGGGTTATTAGCTTTTCACTTCTTGGACGACTCATTGTTACAATTGTACTTGTATAACAAAATAGTTATACAATAACGCAATTTCAACGTCAACGAAATTTCAACAATAACAGTGGTGCACTGGCTACACAATGAGACAAAGATGGCGCCTGACGCTTGTTGTGGGTCGCGTACAACAATATTCATGCGCCAGGCGAAATAGTCCGTATTCATCCGTCATGTAGGAGTTATGCTCGTTATAGCATTCTCAATTTTATAGGTAAAACCGTTCGTTATAGGAATATTCGTAGTAGGATCCGTTCGTTATAGCATACCCCACTGTATAGGTTTATGGCACAGAGTATCACTTTACCACATGACAGCTGATTCATGTTAAGTATTTTCTGTGTAATGTGACATTTTGTTATGTATTCAAATTGGACAATTATTCTGGAAGTTGGTGCCTACATTGTGCCTTCCATACAGAAATCTCATCACTAACACTGTTTATTCACTGGTCATTACTTTACATTACCTGTTACAATATTACAGATTGTTACTTAATTGATGATACTTATAAAAGGTTAAAAGGGAAAGGAAATGGTAGATGATAATTATTCCTAACTTTATAGAGGCTGTTATTACAAACTCAAATAAATGTGTTTGCTTATAAGAAAAGAAAGTGTGAGCAGCCTGCAGTCTGATGCTCTGAAGATCTTATCCCTGACTACTGTACTGTACTCTACTGTACTGTACTCTACTGTACTGTACTCTACTCTACTGTACTGTACTGTACTCTACTCTACTCTACTGTACTATCTCTCATGTAATAACGTCTCCATTAGCCAGAATCCCTCAAACTCAGAATTTCAATAGACGGAATTGAAGTTGTCTCTGAAAATTGTTCCCAAAGTCGGAATTTTACGAAAAATTCCGGGAGGAACAATTTTTCGAGAGGCGCGTTCTGGCAGGAAGAGGTTAGGTTAGGTAGGTAGGTTAGGTAGGTTAGGTTACCTTAGATTAGGGTAGGTTAGTTTAATTCAAAGACATAATGACCTAAGCTTCTGGGTCACTGGATGTACTTACAGCAATCAATCAATCAACAGGTACCATCACCAGCGTGGCCTTCCATAAGTCGGGTTACTTGTTCTCAGCAGCACAGGACGGCCACATCTGTATATACAACAGAAGGAAATGGCAGGTTAGGCAGACATACTGTGTTGAGTTGTGTACAGTGATATAACTCACCACAACACTACAGCCTCTTATATGGTGCCACTGTCAATGGAAGTGCCTCATATGGTGTCACTGTCGGAAGTGGGTGTCACTGTCAATTTATGGTGGAGGAGGCAGTACATCAACGCAATTAGTTTTAAATTAAAATATTTTAGATAATGTTACCTGTCAGTGGGTCAGGACCGAACACTGCGGACCTGGGACCTCATCAAGGGCAGGAAGGCTTATATCACCAACCTAAAGACAGGTCAGTGTGGGGGGGGTCCTCTAGTTACAAATACCCACACTTATTGATGCCTTCACTTACAAATACCCACACTTATTGATGCCTTCACTTACAAATACCCACACTTATTGATGCCTTCACTTCACTTAACAACCCACACTTATTGATGCCTTCACTACAAACACCCACACTTATTGATGCCTTCACTTACAAATACCCACACTTATTGATGCCTTCACTTACAAACACCCAAACTTATTGATGCCTTCACTTCACAACACCCACACTTATTGATGCCTTCACTTACAACACCCACACTTATTGATGCCTTCACTTACACCCACACTTATTGATGTCTTCACTTACAAACACCCACACTTATTGATGTCTTCACTACAAACACCCACACTATTGATGCCTTCACTACAAATACCCACACTTATTGATGCCTTCACTTACAAACACCCACACTTATTGATGCCTTCACTTACAAATACCCACACTTATTGATGCCTTCACTTACAAACACCCACACTTATTGATGCCTTCACTTACAAAACCCACACACTTATTGATGCCTCTCACCTACAACACCCACACTTATTGATGCCTTCACTTACAAAACCCACATTTATTGATGCCTTCACTTACAAACACCACACTTATTGATGTCTTCACTACAAACACCCACACTTATTGATGCCTTCACTTACAAAAACCCACACTTATTGATGCCTTCAATTCATAACACCCACACTTATTGATGCCTTCACTTACAAACACCGACACTTATTGATGCCTTCACTTACAAACACCCACACTTATTGATGCCTTCACTTACAAACACCCACACTTATTGATGCCTTCACTTACAAACACCCACACTTATTGATGCCTTCACTTACAAACACCGACACTTATTGATGCCTTCACTTACAAATACCCACACTTATTGATGCTCACCTTAAAACACCCACACTTATTGATGCCTTCACTTACAAACACCCACACTTATTGATGCCTTCACTTACAAACACCCACACTTATTGATGCCTTCACTTACAAATACCCACACTTATTGATGCCTTCACTTACAAACACCCACACTTATTGATGCCTTCACTTACAAACACCGACAACTTATTGATGCCTTCACTTACAAACACCGACACTTATTGATGCCTTCACTTACAAACACCCACACTTATTGATGCCTTCACTTACAAACACCGACACTCAAGGCTCGGGTTTACTTAATTCCGGACTTTCGATAGTTTCTGTGTATCAACAAGAGAACAAACATGTGAGAGTTTCAGCTGTTGAGAATCCTCCTGACAGTAGCTATGAGAGAGAACTGTCAGTGATGTGTCCACCTGACCAGAGCTATACACTATAGCTCCTTCCCGACTTACGACGGGGTTAGGGACCCAAATCCAGGTCGTAAGTCGAAAATGCTTAAATAATACATAGAAAATCTAAAATGGTTGTCTCTTTTTCTTCTCAGCAGCACAAACTCTCACTTTTAAGCTTGCCAGCCGTTTTAAAGTGAATTACAAACGAAAATTTTGTCGGTACACAGTGCAATCACTGACGTCGGGACTCGAAAATACGAAATTTGACAAAATTTTGGTACGACTGAGGTGGTCGGGGAGGAGCTGTATGTGATGTAAGGAAATTATACAGTACAGTAAAGTCTCTGATAACAACGGCTCAACTAACAACTTTTCATATATAAAACCCTTGTTAATTTAATGACCCAATTCAATTTACGTCCTTATTTCATTTCAGATTATTTACGACCAAAATATAATAAAAATAAAATAAAATTACTATTTTCATATAAATAATAACTAAATCCCGATATGTATTATAAAAAAAAAAAAATTACTGTAAAAAAAATTAAGAGTTCCTTGTGCGAAGAAGCTGCCTTGGTAATGAGTGGTAAACAACAGTTGGAGCTGACGGGCCTTTTGTTTCACGATCTGAACAGTAAAGGGAAAAACTTCCTCAGGTTCCTTACATCATATTTGCCTCCCTATTCAACCTGAGCAAGAGAGCAAGTGATGGTAGTGCTGGTCCAATAGCTGATAGAAAGTGTATAAGGTTAGTCGAGAAACTTGATGTGTTAAAACGATATGAAAAAGGGGAGTAGAATTTTTGTTTTACATTAGTAAATATTATTTAAAACATATATGAACAGTAATAAGTGTTGCTTTCATATTATTATGTAGAGAAATGACGATATGTTTTCACATGTACGCCTACTGTTCATATGTTGGCGTTCACAATCGTCTCGCTTTATTTCTTTACCATTAGTGGTTAGCTACTTCTAGTGTTCCATTTATTAACATTAAATAACATTACTCAAAACATACATACAGGTATTAAATTTTTTACATTAAGTTTACTACAGCTACAACCAGGGTCTAATTTTGTTTAGTTTCTTATGTAGAACCATCGCTACCACTAAACAATGTCGCCTTTATCCTTGTGTGTTTTAATATTCTACGATTATTAATGAATTGAATTGTTCATTTCACATATATAAAGATTAATTCCATCAAATACATATTCAGTAATAAACAATAATGAATCTTTTGTACATATTCTATTGAACACCACACTTACTAACACCCACACTTACTTAACACCCACACTTACTTAACACCCACACTTACGAACACCCACACTTACAACCTAGGTGATGATAAATTTGCAGATCGTGTTAAGGGGTAATGGTTAGCCAGTGCAGTTGATGAGCTGTCCGGTCTTCTCGGACTATTCCTTGACACTGGGTCATGCAGCTCATTAACTCTGTGGTGGTGACAGCTTCTACACCTTAAACACTGGGTCATACAGCTCGTTAACTTAGGGTGTGGTTGTTGTGTTGGCGACAGCTTCTACACCTTAAACATGGGCATACAGCTCGTTAACTTAGGGTGATGTTGTTGTGTTGGTGACAGCTTCTACACCTTAAACAAATTCACATCTAAATGGCCCCCTAGGACTGGCCATCCTCGAACACAAGAGGGCCGCCAGTATTATTATTGGTAGTATTATTATTAATATCTACACTGTCTTTATATTTATACTATACGCTGAACTATATACCAACATAATATAACAATTCTGTATATCCCGACACAGTTGGCGAGCCACTGGTCACCAGATGGCTCCCAGTATGTGGTGGTGAAAGGCTCTTGTGTTGACCTGTATAAAGTGGCAGTGGGTCAAGTGGTACATTCTGTTGACTTCAAAGAGACGGTTACTTCACTTATATTTCTTATGGTGAGTTACCTGAAGATTAGTCCCCTGATTAGTCATCTATTATACCTGATTAGTCACCAATTATGTATATGTTTAGTCACCATTATATTTCATGTCATAGACTTAATTGTAAATAGTCACCTCTGTTTAATTATAGTCACTTCTGTTTAATTATAGTCACTTCTGTTTAATTATAGTCACTTCTGTTTAATTATAGTCACTGTTAATTATAGTCACTGTTAATTATAGTCATTTACCCTTGTCATAAGTACAGTACCTATACCTAATACTATCTGCGTCAGAGGCGTATAGCAGACCTTCCATCACTGAACCTGGCAGAAATCTACTAACATTCTCAACCTAATAAATCTGAGTCCACGATCTGTGATAACTTTAATATTAGACTATTTATTTGTTTAGGAGTGTGGTTTGATGGTTTAATTTTGTGTGGAATGTGACTGGTGTTTTGGTTTGCCATGGATGTAGTTGTTATAATCGATTAATTTTTGTTCTCCTTGTTATTGTTGTTCTTCTCCACCTCTTCCTCCTCCTCCTCTACAGGATGACATTATAGCAGTCGGTGGAGAGGGCAAAAATATCTGTATCTACGACCTGACAACCAAGGTGGAGTTAACACAGTGGGCGGCTCACACCATGCGGATAAAGAGTCTCACATACCGAGAGACACGGCGGACTCCGAGGACCTCTGGCTGGCCTCCGCTTCCTCCGACGGCAAGATAAAAGTGTGGAGACTGGAGGTAATTTCAGATGGTCTCCACTCTAGGTTTTGAGTATTGGTGATGTACAGGGTTAGGTTAGGTTGGGGTAGGGTTAGGTTAGGTTAAGGTTAGGGTTTGGTAGGATTAGGTTTAGGTGCCCCTATAGTTCCCACTCTCGACACCTTCACTATGGGGGCGCCACTTTTAATATTTTAATTGGCTAACGTCGGACATATTTATTGAGTACATAACAACGCTCTTCCACCAGTCCAGTCAGTCAGTCAGTCAGATATAGCTACACATGTATATTGAGTACATATGGGACTCATACACAAGGAGTTGAGTACATCACAGTTATCACAGTCCCAGTTAGTCAGTCAGATACAGTTCGTTTATGTCGGTTTAATTTTACAGCTGTTATCACTGTCATCGTTGCCAACACTTCTGGGTGAGATTGATACCACTTGTCGCATCATCTGTATGGACGTACACCTGCCTCCACCCCCCAGGACGCACACACCCGACTCTCATAACGACTCGGAGGAAGAGGAGAGCGACAACGTACACACAGCCGACCATACATACGCGCCACCCAAGAAGCTAAAACAGCTAAAAGGAAAAACAAACTCTCCAAGATGGTGACTCAGGGAGGGAAATGTTGATGACTTGAAACCTAAAAAGAAAAAGATTAAATTTGTCTAAAATATACTTATAATAAATGTAATTAATAAGTGTTGTGTTGTAAGCCTTATTAAGCTTATAGTTAAAGCTGTGGTGTGGTATAAGCTTAGTAGGGCACATTATGGGAGTTATTAAAGCTCAGAATTGACAACTTGGACAGCTTGTGGTAGTGTCCCGTTGTGTTGATGGTGCGGGACATGACGTACAAATGTCCCGGGTTCATCACTTTTAATATTGTGAATGTTTCTATGAGATGTGTCTTACTGTGCCTTGTGTGAAGGGTTTATAGGCCTCTAGATGACATGGTTGAGCAATGATCTTAGTGTTACACCTTATCTTGCTGGAGGCAGGGTGACCACTAATACACACTGGGTCACATTTGTACACTAGCATCTACCTGTGTTAGTGTTACACCTTATCTTGCTGGAGGCAGGGTGACCACTAATACACACTGGGTCACATTTGTACACTAGCATCTACCTGTGTTAGTGTTACACCTTATCTTGCTGGAGGCAGGGTGACCACTAATACACACTGGGTCACATTTGTACACTAGCATCTACCTGTGTTAGTGTTACACCTTATCTTGCTGGAGGCAGGGTGACCACTAATACACACTGGGTCACATTTGTACACTAGCATCTACCTGTGTTAGTGTTACACCTTATAATTACTAAATGTTTGTGTGGTTTGGTTACTTGTTGCTCTGCCTTATGATCTATCGCAACACCATGACCCTTATCAACCATATCCCTTAGGGGTTGTTGTCATGCTAAACAACATTCACCAGTTTAAAGACCATATGAACTGCTCCTGCAGGTCATTCAGTATTGTTGCAACACCATCCTGACTTGTTACCTTCCCAGTTATCTTTGTGTCGTGTGTGTGTGTGTGTGTAAGTCGTGTGTGTATGTAAGTCGTGTGTGTGTGTGTGTGTGAGAGTCGTGTGTGTGTATGTGTACATAGTCATGTGTATGTAAGTCATTTGTGTGTGTGTGTGTATGTAAGTCATGTGTGTATGCTTTTGATTCTTTTAGGGAAATGTAAATTCATTATAATTTATTTTATTATTTATTATTTAATGTTAATAAGTGAGTAAATACATTTATAAGTATATAAGTAAGTTAGTCTAATGTAAATTACAGTACTACTTAACACTTACAAACACACACACACACACTACTACTACTGTCACTGGTAATCAAGTATGACGATCATCCAGCTATGATACAATGATATGAGTTATTATGATGTCACCTTCGTTGGTGAGTTCTGAGGTGACTAAAGAGGCCGATACTGGACCGCAGGGTCGATCACAGATGTGGCACGGTGGGGGGCTACATCTAGTGCGGAGGGGCGGTGGCAGCGCTCTTCCGGCGTTGGCGCTTGTCTGCCTGTATACAGTCGGGCTAACTTGAACATATTGACACCTTCTTGTGTGGTGCTCCTCCAAGCGCACTGTGTGGAGTGATTGCCTCCGAGGCATACACACACACACACACACACACACACACACAAACAATGTTATAATATCCAGTATTTATCTTCTTTAAGCAATACTCTGTTCAGGAGCGGCCATCTGGAAGAGTTGAAGTGGGTGATGATGATAGTAGTTCTAGTAATAATAGTAGTTTTAGTAGTAGTAATAGTAGTAGTAATAATAGTAGTAGTAGTAGTAATAGTACAGTGGTCCCTCAGTTAACGAACGGTTCGATTAACGAAATTTTGGTTAGCAATTACCTTCCATAAGGATTTTCAGTTCGCTTATCTAATTCCTTACAAAGCAACGCGTTTTGTTGTGAGCATCAGCTGATGGGCCAGTCGCAATACAGTAATCTGTACTATGTTTACATTCGTTTCCAGTGGAGTAAATATCAAGAAAGTTGGTCTCTTTAATATTTGTTAATGTTTTATATTAAAATTATTATTCATTTTAACATTTATTTAACATATTGATAATATATACAGTACGGGGAACTAGTTTTTGTCGCCCATCAGCCGCTTGACTCACCCACCAAAGCGTCTCTGTTTAACTTTCTTTACGGTGGAGGAGACTTCATGTTTGTCGCTCTCTTGACTACAGAGTATTTTTACGTTTTTACATTAAATTTATTGGTTATTCTGAAATTTAGTTGACATATTGATAATAACTGTATATAGTGCAGTGTTGATTTATATAAAATAATCTTTAATTGCAGCTGTGAACTTAAAATTTTATTAGTGAAATAATTACATCAAGCATAGGTGGGAAAGATGATTATCCTCAGTGTTCCTGTCCAGAAATGAGAGAGGATGTTACTGTTAGAGAATCTGTCAGTCAGAGGTTCCTGACGTTATTATGGAAGGTGACTCGCCTTCCAAGAAGCATTAAAATGGTTCTCTTCTCCCTTCTCCTCACCCCACTTCCTTCTCTTCTCCTCCACCCCCACTTCCTTCTCTTCTCCTCACCCCCTTCCTTCTCTTCTCCTCCACCCCCACTTCCTTCTCTTCTCCTCCATCCCACTTCCTTCTCTCTTCTCCTCCACCCCACCTCCTTCTCTTCTCCTCCACCCCCACTTCCTTCTCTTCTCCTCCACCTCCACCTCCTTCTCTTCTTCTCCTCCACCTCCTTCTCTTCTCCTCCACCCCCACTTCCTTCTCTTCTCCTCCACCCCCACTTCTAATTCCCATCATCATCATCACCATTAACCAGAGCCTCCATACACCTCAAGGTCAGTGTACTTTCTGCATTTGTTTATACTTTGCATGTACTTTTCTGTGGCACAACCAATTCCAATATCCCATTGAAATAATAGATTCGGTTAATGAAATATTTTGGTTAATGAACGACTCTGTGGAACGAATTGTGTTCGTTAACCGAGGACCACTGTAGTTGTAATAATAATATTCTAATGTCATTAACACCATTACAGAAACACAATTTAGTAACTACACCACACCCACACCACACCACACTACACCACACTACACTACACTTACATTAATCACAACAGTATTACGTGGTGTCAGGCTAAGACCATAAGATCTAACCACCACTAAGAAGTAAACTTGTAGAGCAGACGTGAGGAACAACCACGAAGGCAGCCGATGGAGAGAGAGTTATCAAGAGGAACACAATGCCCAGGGTGATGTTGAGGGCAATGCTGAGACCTGCAGCCCACACCCAGGCCATGATTAGTCTTCACGGTGGTCCTGTGGGAGATGAACGTACATGAATACATACATATATACATACACAGGCCATGATTAGTCTACAGTGGTCCTGTGGGGAGATGAACGTACATGAATACATACATATATACATACACAGGCCATTATTAGCCTATGGTGGTCCTTGGGAGATTAACGCATGAATACATACATGTATATATAGGTTTGAAGTAGATAGCTGATAAATATTGGTAAATTATCAAATAGTTCTTAAATACAGGTTAGATTACATTTAAGTTAAATTGGGTCAAGTGTCAATTATGGTAGGTTAAGTTAGGATTCAATTACTAACCTTACGAATACGTTAAGGATGATGGTGAAAATAACATTGTAGATATTGATGACCAGATCTAACCGCCTCGTTCAAACCTGGGGGGGAGGTTGTTAGTGTTAAGAACCTGTATTTAATATGTTTAGGTTAGGTTTTGAGTGTAATTGTAATATTTATAAAGTTTATATATTATGGTTAATCTTGATAAATCACGGAAAATGAAACAGCACCAGCTTTCTCTTTATTCAAGACATCTTCAGAGGCAACTTCAGTTGCCTCTGAAGTTAATCTTGAATAAACAGAATCTCGTTCATTTCTATCAAGATTATCTTATCCACGTTTTCATTGTGGATTTACATGAAATTATGGTTAATATTCTTACTTACCAGTGACTCCCAGAGAAATACTGTAGCGGCACTAGCGAGTCCCGTATACCTGTGTGGAAATGATGATAATAAGAGTCAAGTACACACAGTAAGGACAGTATCAAGTACACTCAATAAGGACAGTATCAAGTACACTCCAATAAGGACAGCATCAAGTACACTAGGGGGCAGGGAAAAACACTTTATTTGAGTTGCAGGCTGCACTTTTCAGGCATCGTTTGTATGGCTGTAACAAACACCTGTGCAAAATTTCATGCCATTTCATGCATACTTACCCTGCCGCGCCGAGAACGACTTTTGTCAACTTTTAGTGTATACCAAAAATTAGGTGTCATTTAATGTTTTCCAGGATAATGATAAATTTACATGGGTGACATCGATTTAATTCACATGTTATTTTACAGGTACACCGTATAGAAAATCATTACAAGTTCATATTGAAATTCTTTTTTGTCGGAACCTTGGCATCATTTTCCTAGACAATAATCTTTGCCTAATATATCCATCTCGATTAGTATCCGTCACTTCAGTGCAAGCTTCAGTCATCACTTTTATGCTCTCTCGACCGCCTGAGTGCTGTTTGGCCACTTGGGCACCACTAATGGTGTCTCAAGAATGTCATTAACCTGTAGATTTGACAGAGAAGCAATGTAAGGAGGCTCAGTCTTGAGTTCATTCCTCCAGTTAATCATGGAATGATAGTTTTTGCTTGCCACTTAGTTTGAGTCACCACCTTTCTCATGTTGACTACAGGAGGCACATCCTCATTCACATCTCCATCTTTACCCTCCTCATCAGTATAGTTTAACAAATTCTCGTCAACAGCAGCATCAGAAACTTCCTCCTCCTCTTCAGATCTGCCAGTGCATTCTTCCCTTTTGCTGATTCTCTCTCTAATTTTTCTTATCATTGAGACAGCTTTTTCTCTAACAGTCATGTCCTCATCTGCACACATACCAAGAAGAGTTGATCTGTGTGGGCGAAGTATGCATTTCTCTGGACAGCTTCTTCACTATCGTCTCCTCCTCACTATTCAGGTGTTTCATATATAGCAGGGACTGGAATACGTTCCTTGAGCCGTGTGTACGTAGGGGTATCTTGATGTAACCACATTGGAGCACTGAACTTTATTATTGTAATGACAATTCTTTTCAACTCATGGCTGGGTCTTGATGTTGCTACA